GAAACGTCTGGCCAAGCCTTAGAATTTATCAACCCTGAAATCAACTCAGAGGTGTAATGAGTCCATTTGGGATCAGATCAGGTCCGAAGCCCCAGTGGAACCAATATGTCATTTCTTTTCTACTGCCACACACACACACAAAAACACCTAATAGTATAAGAATAGTAGTAACATTTTTGACCTGACATGCACACCAACTATATTTCCTTCTGCCTCTTAAATATTCTGCTCCAAGAATACTAGCAAATATCTAGACCTAGAATTTTTCATTGATTTAATACCATGAAAGTGCCTATGAAGTAATGGGTGAGTTGAGATTCAAATACAACCCTCAAGATTTCCTACTTCTTTTCCCCCACTCTCTGAATTGAATCAGTTCCAGACATTATTATAATATCATTTTTCAGAGCTCTATAAATAGATGGATTCTCATTTCTTCTCTTAAGCACTGTTTGCTAAATGTTTTGGCCCAAAAGTTCAGTCATTCCATGCAAGCATTAATCAATACGGGAGACATTAGTGGTTACTCGTTCAGATGAGATTTGACATTATTTTTCCTCTGTTTGTGGGGAGGGGAGAGGAATGTTGCCTAATAAAGATGAAGGGTCTTTTCTTCTTTTGTATGAAATGCAAATGATGAGGACATGTGTGATATACATTTCTCTAATGTCAGGCTGCTGCTTTTTGTTGAGAAAGAGAGGCAAGGCCCTGGAGGATTTTAGACTTTGTAAATATAAAATTATCTGCCTTGGTGTTTAAAAAAATAATAAAAGGGAGAAGGAGTTGGCAGGTTGCCAGATTACTTACATTACAGTAATAGATTTGCTGACCCCTGACTTCTGCTGTAGAGAAATGTATTGAATTTTTTATAATATCAGATGAGGCAAATCTAAAACCCTAGTATACCGAGCACCATTATTTAACTTGAGATTTAGCAAAGCCGAAATCTTTTCAAACCAGCAATTTCTTGTATGATGATAATTTACTGGCTCAGACACTAATAAATCAAGGTTATAATGCCATTGATTTGTTAATTTTAACTTGGGTTGATTTTAAGTCTTCTTTATTTAAAATAAAAAAAGAAGAGGAGGAGAAAGAATGAGAAGGAGAAAAAAAAATCTTGCTTTTCACAGTGACTGAATTTAATAAGAATCTCTGTGATAGCAAAAGGCTCCCCTACTGTTTCTGCTTTGGGGTAGAAAATGTTATTCTTGTATTATTCCTAGGGAAAAATAAAATCTCATGCTGCTACAAATCTTATGCCTATGAAAAGATGTTATTTTTTAATACATGATGGCTTACCTATTTCAGATCCATTAATGGCATCATAAATAAGCATTTTACTAATCTGAAATGTGAAATCTGGATAAAAATAAAGACCCATTTATGTGCCCAGCTTTCAATCCCCAGACTAGATGGGGGGGGGGGTGTTTCTGATTTACTAATGAGTATATTACTTCTCTTCCCCATTACTGACACCCACCTAAAATCCAGCCCCCCGTTTTTAAGAGATACAGCCCATTGAAAATATTTCTCCTGTATAATGAATTCTTGGGGACTGGGTGCATTTTTGCTTTTATCTGCACAGTTTAGAAACTGATTAAATCTTTGTTGTACTACAAATATTTGAGGAATAATAATCTGCAAGGCACAGGCAGGTTGCATTATGCTGAATTCTTTATATAATACAAACCTACGCAGCTTCCTGCATTGGGCAATGTTGACCTTATATTGGCAAACCTGTTTTTAATACTACCCCATGTACGTTGAACGTTTAAATGTTCAGAAACCTATAATAGCTTTCGTCCTCTTGTACTGTAAAAACTTCTAATAATCAAATGATAAGATCATATCCTGTGGGGTAATTGTGTTGTACCATGGCAGGATAACTGAAAAAACATTCAGTGAAAATTGTACCAAACGGAAATCACTCTCTGAAGCAGCGATTGTTTCTGTGCTATGGGAGAACATGCCCTGCTCTTCAGAGCCTAGCTGGTCATATTTTTACTTGTTTCCTTTTAACTGCTGCCTTTCTTGTTTTATTCTGGGAGCCTTTTTACCCCCCACCTCCCCACCACTATAATTATCTTTCAATGATTTAGTAGGGGAAAAAAATTCAGTTGACCTTTGTGTGTGTACACACACACACACACACACACACACACTTTCCTTTGGAAGCCTTGAACAGGCAGAGCTTGTGTTTGGATTCAGTTTTACCTTAGTCATGCCTCTTTCCAGATACAAGAAACATTTAATTCCAGATTTCCTGCTTCTGGCTTTAGGCCTTTGACCAGCAAAGTGAAATGTATTTTTTACTGCTGTCGGCCCGCCAGCTGCTGAGTTGAGTGAAGGGGAGAGGGAAAAAAAAAAAAAAAAGACAGGGAAAAAAAAAAAGAAATGAAATGAAAATGTTGCCCTGCCTCATGAACTTGCAAAAATTGTAAAAGGAAATTAAAGTCTCCTTAGCACCCATCTAGAGAGCTGAGTTGGCCCAAGACTGTCAGAACTCAGGGTAAGGGGTCCTTTGGGACCCACTGGGTGTTTCCCCCACCCCAGGTCTCTGCTATCCCTCAACCCCCTCCCCACACTCAGAGGTAATGCTGTAATTCTTCTCAGGAAAGAGGGTCCCTCATGGTGTCACCATCTCAATTAGAGAATGAAGGTGGGGGAAGGGTAGTACCAGCAAATGGAATACCCAGGCTTCCAAGCTCCTTGCGTTCCCATGGCAACAAAACAAAAGTAAAACAAACCTATCTGTCCCCACAATAAAATATGTTTTTATTAAAATTAATTTAAAATATTTTTCCAATTTAAAATATTCAATGCGTCTTGTTCCCGGACAATCCCTAACCTGCTGATACTGAAAGGGATAAAGTCCCTGGCAGAATTACTCAGATAAAAGGAATTGGGGGGGGGGGGGAATGTTGAGGACTTCACAGATGAGACAGGATAAATTCAAGTATGAACAAGATTGCTTTTTTTTCTCGTGTCTGCTTAGTTATGCTTTTTATTATATAAACATTAACTGTAATATTACAGTGGGAAGCAGGTATTTGGCAGCCATATATTATTTTAGTAAGTCCACATAGAGGGAGCAGTTTCCAGTTTTAGCAGCTGTAACATGTTTAAACTCAGTTTGTAATGGGATCTGAAGATAACTATTCCCCATGGGCTGTGTTGATCTTCATGGCTGGCCCACTGCCAGATGGAGGGCTCGGAGGTATTATTCACGCCTCCTTGCACATACCTTGTCCGAGCATGCTCAGTAAATGAATTTGGTTTCAGATATACTATAAATTGGGATTTGATTTTCCCACCATTTACTTGGTTTGCTTTTAAAGAATGATATATTATGTTCCCAAATGTCCCCCCCCTCCCCGTTAATTTCAAACCTGAACAGTTGTGTATGTTTAAGTAGCTGAGATCCAAATTATGTAGTTAGAAAGCAATTTTAGAATAGCAAACAAATATCCAAAGCAAAGAAGTTTTTGCCTGGGTGTCTTAGTGTAAAAATAATTAGGATTCCCAATATTTGAACAGATTTTGGTTGTTTATAAGCCAAGTACATTTTCTTCATTGAGTCAACTTGTCTTATTTAAAACAAATTATGTTTGCTGTATTAAAGTTCATATTTTTAAGGCTGGGTCTTGTATTAATCCCACAGTGAGTCATTAATCATACCAAATGCATTATAAAAACTTTAATCACTGAAGTTGAAACTGAGATTGTAATGCAATCCGTGCCTTTTAATTACATCAGCTCTTTTCCCGTTCAGATCAAGAGCTGCGTCGCAAAGGGAAAACAGATTAAAACCAGAGCTGTTTGATGTTTCTCTTTTTAGAGCAATTTTATGCACTTTGTTTAAAAAGTTATATAATTAAAATGCTTGAATTTTTCAGCCCTCTGATTTTTGTGGCTCGAGTAGTTGGTCTGGTTCCTTTTCTCTGGGGCCCTCTTGAACTTGGCACCCTAAAACAGACCTCTTCAGGTTGGCATCACCTGCCTCCCCAGAGCTGCAGGAAAAGGCTGTAACTCAGCCACACTGAGCCTGCCTGCCCTTGACCTTTTCATCCTAGGTGTCAGGTCTGCATTTTAAGGTGGATAAAAATAAAAGCTCTGGAGATAGGTATGGCCAGGTTCAAATTCTAGCTCTAACAAGTGCCTTATGCAAATTATTTAGCCATTTTGGATCTCAGTTGTCTCATTTGCTTAAAAGAAGAATAAGACTACATAGGGATGTGGGGGAGAGTATATGAAATGATCTGCATAACATACTTGGCACATACTAGTCCCTTCATTAGATCAGAGGCTTTGGATATTTGAGTCACTGCTATATCTCAGTATCTAGAGCACTGCCTGGCATAATAGGTACTCAATGAACAGTGATGGACTGAAAAATTAACAGAAACTATCATTACTGTTGTGGTGTTGTTGGCTTGTAGCCAAGTGCCATGGGCTATAATGAGGATGTTGTTAACCTTGAATGTATCCATTTGGCATCTTTGGTATCTAGACTCACAAAATCCAAGGAGGATGTCTTTCTTGCAGAGGAATATTTAAATGGCCAGGTAGAGACTTTCACCACTAAGCTCTGGAAGTTTCTAGAATGCAATTTGGGTTGCTGGCAATAATTTAACAAGTTGTTTGTACAGTAGACCTCTCTTATCCATGGTGCTTTTGCTTTCTGTGGTTTCAGTTGCCCAAGGTCAACCACGGTCCAAAAATAATATTTGTCTTGACTCATTCAAGAGAGAGGGACCATATTCATATAACCTTTATTACAGTAATCATTATAATAATTGTCCTATTGTATTATTAGTTATGATGGGTAATCGCTTACTTTACCTAGTTCATAAATTAGGTTGGTTTGCTTCTGTGGGGGTTTAGACCAAGTCCTGTGCAAAGGGACTACTGTACTGAGAAAAGAAAGCAAACCCCCATAGCATGGAGACTGCTGGAGTTGGTCAGCTGATTTATCATCTCTTCTGCTCTTCTTGTAGATTAATCCTGCCATATGAAAGGTTTATTAAAGGAGAGGAAGATAAGCCCTTGCCTCCAATCAAACCTCGAAAACAGGAGAACAGTGCACAGGAAAATGAAAATAAAACAAAAGTATCAGGAGCCAAGCGCATCAAACATGAAATACCTAAGAGCAAAAAAGAAAAAGAGAATGCCCCAAAGCCCCAGGATGCAGCGGAGGTGAGTTGCTGTGCTCCACAGGAGTGCCACCTGTGAGACAATGTCCTGACCCTATGTCTTCTGGAACCCTGAATCCATTGCTGTGTTCCTGCAGAGTTCATAGCTGGACTGAGAAATCTCACACCTAAGCTCCACAGTCCCCCTCCCTGCCCACCATAGTTGTCCAGTTCTTGAAGACTCTTTTGTTTGTTGGGGAGATGAGATGCAGTGCACAGTATGGGATGAGATATGCTAAGTCTAGAATCTATAAAGATGAGAACATCCTGTAGAAAATGGAACAAATGCTCAGATTTTGAGATGGAAGGAGTCAGGGCTGCAGCACTTTCTGAAACCCAGGGATTCCATAGTGAAACAATGCTTCCCCCATCTCGCAGCCAGTTAATATGGGTGGTGGGTGCAGCTTTGTTGGGGTGGGGGGGTCAGTCTAAGGAGGATGGCAGTGAAATGACTGCTCTGACTCAGCAGGACTCTGCTGAAACTCTAGAAGCTGTGGGTCTCCATTGTAATGGACCTCTATGCAACAGCCCTGGGTGGGGACCACTTTAGCAATATCTTAAGTACCTATTATTTATAGGGGAATTTTGAAATGGTTCCTCTGAAACTATTATTATCTCTCATATTAACAGGTAGTTTCTTAACCTTTTAAAACAAGTCCTGGCTACCCACAGACCCCAACCTTTGCTCGTTGGTAGAAACCATTACTGTCAGCATACAGCCAGCCATGGAGGCTGGTCTGGGCTCTGTTTCAACATGAATAATAATAATAACACACACAAAAAAATCCACTGCCCATTAAAAAAAAATTAAAAAACAAAACTTAGCAGCCACATTTGGAGACAGCATGTTCTAGAATTCAACCCCTGAGGGAATTTTGATGCTGATATTAAACACCCTCTAAAAATCAGGTTTATAATGAACACATAAGAGACTCCCTAATTAAACTCCAGTTTAAAACATGCTCGCTTGCTCTCTCTCTCTCTCTCTCTCTCTCTCTCTCTCTCTCACAACCTCATAATGATATTAACTTACCCAACTGATTCCTCTGTATGAAGAAACTATTAATACCAAGAGGAGAAATTTTTGTTTTGTTCTTTTTTTTTAAGTTTCATAATTATCTTAAGCTCTAGTAATTTTAAAAGGAAGGGGGAAAAAAGATGATGCAGACTTTTAAACATCTGCAAATTTGCAACACAAATGGCCAAAAGCAAGGAAATTCCAAGTTAAGGCTTACATTCCATTCTTCCTTTATCCTGTTGGCCTGGTGATTTATTATAGGGTTTCGGATCAGTGAATTCTATTAGATACCATATGTACAGTGCTGCCAGAGCACCAGGGGACAAACTGAGGACCAAGGGGCCCGCTGACCTTTGAATGGCTCCATTTTGGGGGTGAAGTTTGAAACGGTTGGTTTGGTGAGTTGTGGGAGGATCCTCAGCCCCAGCACTGAGCCTGTCAGCCAGGCAGATGATCATTCCCAAGAGGACAGCCTTCTCCCCAGAGTCCAAAGAAACCCTGAAAGCTGTTAGGCTCCTTGTTTCCTACAGGCCCCAGCTGTGCTCTTCAGGACTTATCTGTGTCTAGAGTGTCACAGGGTTGTCCTGTGAGGTTCTCTAAACGAATTTTCCACCCACTTCAAAATTGGGCTTATAGTCAGAATCACTCCCCACCTCTAACATAAACCCACATTATTGAATTATATTTCTTCTCATTGAATTCAATTGGATTCAATTATTTGTTTTTTTACATTTTGTTTTTGTTTTTTTTTCTTTTTCTTTTATGTAAAGTACTACATTCTGTGGAGATGGGAGGGGTGATAAACCTCTTCTAGTGAGATCCCCTATCTTCAGGTAATTGAATTGCAAGCTACTTCAGGGAAGGTATCATTTAGCATTCAACATACTAAAGCAGATCATAAAATCTTAGGAAAAGGGCCTTCTGCTTTTTTCAGCCTAGCTTTCACACACTCTAAACCTCCTTGATAGCCAGAGGGATGAGATTCCGATAGAACTGAAGGCCTAGGTTATAGAAACTTCAGTGTGACTGAGTATTCCCCAGAGCCCCACTTCAAACTATAGTCCCATCAGAAAGTAACAATTAAATGCAATTTGCCTTTTGCATTTGCCTTTACTCATTTTTCTGTATTTTCATGCAATGCATAAGCTCAAGAGACCAATGCTGATTATTAATGTAGAACAAGTAATGATATTTGTACTGAAAAAAAGCAGCTATTAGTGAAAGAAAGGGAGGGGATAAGCAAAGGCACTTAGTTATATAACACAACCCTAGAAAGCAGAAATATTTTTAGGGGGATTTGAGGAGAAATGTCTATGAAATGGGTGTGATCCCTTAAAATTTTTGTTCCTATGTATCCCTGTACCAGAATTTTCAGTCTTAACTCAAAGATGCTAATGTGGTTGGCATTTCTTCCCTTAAGAATGGGCAAAGTTCTAGGGATGAGATTGGGGCAGGGGAAGGGGGGAACCAACCTTCATTAAGACATGGAAGGGCAGAATGACAGCAATTTTGAAAAGATTTGTCAGTCAGCTGGGTCACAGATGAAAAGTTAAAATGATCTTTTAAGGTCAAAGCTTACATAGCTATATAATACAATAAATGGGTTAAATGGTGCCCACAACTTCTGTGAATAGAGACACATAAAAAATATCCATCGGATTGACTTTAATTTATTGTAGTGAACAGAAGAGCTATATGTGTGGTGGCACTCAGGGCATAAATTCTCGCAATTTCATTTTTGGCTGTGATAGAAATATCGTTTGCTGAAGCCCAGAAGGACTTAGAACATTCTCTGTCCCTCAGGTGGACAGACTACCTCTGTGTCTGCATACTTCTTCAATATTTTAGCATTGTCTGCCTGCCACATGTCACAGAGTGGAAATTATTGACACTCAAGCCCCACTAATTTCCAGTGCATCATAGTGAACACATTAGGAAGGGATTTGCTCTCCAAAGAAAGGCGAAGAGTATGTTTGTTGTTGTTGACGTGGAGTTGGTTGGATATTTGAAAGAGAGATGCTTAAAAAATCTTTTCTCAGAAGTGTCATAAAACACAACATGTAATTTAAAACCCATTTGGATAATTGACTGATTTGACAAGAAGACAACCTTAGAATTAAACTATATATTAGAATCAAGGAGTGATGTGATTGTATACCATCAGTACATAACACTTTGCTATTTTGATAGGTGTCTCATGAGGGAATGAAGTGAATATGCATATTTCCCCTAATGTTTCTGTAATTTAGATTTCTTTGTTTAGAGCCATGATTGGGGAGTAATAAAACCTTACCAAAACGCGGTGAGCTGATTGACAAGCCTGTTTTCAAGAAAAACTGCTGTATGTAACATTTTATTTCGTAGCAAAACGTGTCAAGTGTATTTGGTTTTCTTCTGACTTGTCTTTTGAAATATTTTATCAGGTTTCATCAGAGCAAGAGAAAGAACAAGAGACTTTAAACCAGAAAAGCGTCACAGAGCCTCTCCCGGCAGCTGACTTGAAGAAAAAAGTGGAAGGGTACCAGGATTTTACAGCAAGGTCCCTGGCATCCAGAACAGACCCAGAAAACGACAATGAAACGGACCAAGGTTCCAACAGTGAGAAAGAGGCCGAGGAGGTGGGAGAGAAGGGACCGGCAGCTCCGCTCCCGAGCACACCTGTGGCTCCTGAAAGGGATCCGGTCCCAATCCCTGGGGCTGGCAAACAGTCCCTCACCTCTCCTAATGTCCTGGTGGACTCAAAGCAAGAATCCAAACCCTGCTGTTTTACAGAGAGCCCTGACAGTGACCTCCAAGAAGCATCTTTTGCCAGCTTCCCCCCTACTCAGCCACCACTGGCAAACCAGAATGACATCGAGGATGACAAACTACCCGCCATGGCTGATTACATCGCCAACTGCACTGTGAAGGTGGACCAGCTGGGCAGTGACGACATCCACAATGCACTAAAGCAGACCCCCAAGGTCCTTGTGGTCCAGTCATTTGACATGTTCAAGGACAAAGACCTGACTGGACCCATGAATGAGAACCATGGACTTAATTACACACCCCTGCTCTACTCTAGGGGCAACCCGGGCATCATGTCCCCACTGGCCAAGAAAAAGCTTTTGTCCCAAGTGAGTGGGGCCAGCCTCTCCAGCAGCTACCCCTATGGCTCCCCACCCCCTTTGATCAGCAAAAAGAAATTGATAGCCAGGGATGATTTGTGTTCTGGTTTGTCCCAGGCCCACCACAGTCAGAGTGCCGACCACATGGCGGTCAGCCGGCCATCAGTGATTCAGCACGTCCAGAGTTTCAAAAGCAAGCCCTCGGAGGACAGAAAGAGCATCAATGACATTTTTAAGCATGACAAGCTGAGTCGATCAGATGCCCACCGCTGCAGCTTCTCCAAGCATCACCTTAACTCCTTGGCTGACTCCTATGTCCTGAAGCAAGAAATTCAGGAGGGCAAGGATAAACTCTTAGAGAAAAGGGCACTCTCCCATTCCCACATGCCCAGCTTCCTGGCAGATTTCTACTCATCCCCACATCTCCATAGCCTCTATCGACACACCGAACACCATCTTCATAATGAACAGACATCCAAGTATCCTTCTAGAGACATGTACAGGGAATCGGAAAACAGTTCTTTCCCTTCCCACAAACATCAAGAAAAGCTCCATGTAAATTATCTCGCATCTTTGCATCTGCAAGACAAAAAGTTGGCCTCAGAAAAGTTGGCCACAGAAGCCCCTACGGATGATCAACCAACGGATCTGAGCCTTCCCAAGAACCCACATAAACCAACCGGCAAGGTCCTGGGCCTAGCCCACTCAGCCACAGGGCCCCAGGAGAACAAAGGAATCTCCCAGTTCCAGGTCGTCAGCAGCCAGAGTCGAGACTGCCACCCCAAAGCCTGTCGGGTATCGCCCATGACCATGTCGGCCCCTAAAAAGTACCCAGAGTCACTTTCGAGATCGGGGAAACCTCACCACGTGAGACTGGAGAATTTCAGAAAGATGGAAGGCATGGTCCATCCTATCCTGCACCGGAAAATGAGCCCCCAGAACATTGGTGCAGCACGTCCCATAAAGCGCAGCCTGGAGGATTTGGACCTTGTGATTGCTGGGAAAAAGGCCCGGGCAGTGTCTCCCCTGGACCCGTCCAAGGAGGTCTCTGGGAAAGAGAAGGCCTCTGAGCAGGAGAGTGAAGGAGGCAAGGCAGCCTATGGTAGTGGTGGGCATTCCGGGGGCGGATCTGAGGGCCACAAGCTTCCCCTCTCCTCCCCTATCTTCCCAGGTTTGTATTCTGGGAGCCTGTGTAACTCGGGCCTCAACTCCAGGCTCCCAGCTGGGTATTCTCATTCTCTGCAGTACTTGAAAAACCAAACTGTGCTTTCTCCACTCATGCAGCCCTTGGCTTTCCACTCGCTGGTGATGCAGAGGGGAATTTTTACATCACCAACAAATTCTCAGCAGCTGTACAGACACTTGGCTGCGGCCACACCTGTAGGAAGTTCGTACGGGGACCTTTTGCACAACAGCATTTACCCTTTAGCTGCTATAAATCCTCAAGCTGCCTTTCCATCTTCCCAGCTTTCGTCCGTACACCCCAGTACAAAACTGTAAGCCCGGCTCTGCCTAGCATCCCCAAATGGCGTGGCTATCAGAGGTTCACTTCCTACCCAGGGGTGATGGCTTATAGAGTTAGAAGTCAGTATTCCTTCTAATACGGGGGTACAATTCGTCCCAGCCATAGAGGCCGAGAGGGAGGTGAACAGGCCTGATTTTTCTGGGACAACCCCAGCCTTGGCTGGTCGGTCTTGATACCCTTGCAATGCGCATGCCCCCGGCGTCTCCAGATCATTCACTTTGCTGATGGGTCTTGTGAAGGGATTGATGTATATCCAGGAAGAACTTAGAGGACCCCATCTGAGTTTGGATGGTTGGGAAACAATCTGGGCAAAAATGAGGGCAGTCTTTTCAAAGAAAGGGGCAAGAGAGACTGGCACACATAGCCAAGGAATGCCCCTTTTTTTCAAAAAAAACTCTCCAACGTTCAATCAATGCAATGTATAGTGAAACTTCAGTAGATCTTTCATTTTGACACTATTAAACAATCCAGAGAAGTAAACACTGTTAAATTGACTGTATATATTTGCTTCTTAAAACTACCCGTATCACTGTTTGCTCACCTAATTTATATACAGGTAGTTCCATTTTCTCCCAGTTCCTTCTTGTCCCTATATATATATATATATATATTTTAATTAAACAGTTTTGCTTTTGTTTGCAGGTCTTTTGTTTTTTCGTTTTTGTTTTAAGGCTGACTGACTGTCCTTGTTGTTAATGTGTGTTTGTAATTTTTCCACATCTTATCATTTTGAGCAGCTTTGGGTGGTAAAGTTATTGTTTACATATTGAAGCAACTGATTCTAGTGGAACAAATGAAAAAAGACCCAGTCGAGCACACCACAGTGCAGAGAACGTTCCTTTGCAGATCCACAACTTACGGAGTTTGTTCCTCATAAATGGCATAGTTGAAAGAGCTTATACACTGCTTGCCTGGCCAAATGCTTTGCTTTGAAGTATTGGGTGATGTGAAAATATTGAGCATTGTACTTACCTTATCTAGGCTGTGAAACTGTCCTACATACCAGAGGAATAATAAAAAACAAAAAAACCTCACTGGCAGCAAGCTGCTGAATAACAACAGAATCTAGAGGACATATTTGTGGGCTGCACAGATATTTTAGGAATTTCAAAAATTAAAACAGAAGCCAGAATGACTTATATTGGTGTTGGCACTGCTCCCTTTAAAGGGTCTGGGAAAGGGGGTTGGGGAGAGGGTGGAGCTTGAGCCTTCAGCAGAGGAGCAGCAGAAGCCCTGGCCGCCACACGGCTTCCCTGGGCCTTGGCCCCTGGAGTGGTAGCAACTCACACTGCTTTTCATCAGTTGGTTTCTTGTCATCCCCAAGAAGATTCTCCCAGGGTCTATCTTTGAGGATATTTGCCATGCTGGATTACCTGTTTCAAAAGAAAGTCATCCTCTTTGGATGGATGGGATGTGAGTTTTGTGTGCTTGTGCACACTTAACATGCTCTGTGCCATGTTTTTAACTGCCTGGCAATACCGGTCCACTTGATCCTTTCTTTTATTGTTGGAAATTAGTGGTTGAGCTGTTCAAGCAGTCAAAAGGTGTGGAGAATGCCTCTTGTCATTCTGGCCACTTTGTTCCATTGGCTCCTGAGATACAACATCAAGGTGGATGCATTTTCGCAGTGTGTGAAGAGTTGGTCGGTAGAGAGTGGATCTTCTTTCCCATTCCCATCCAGCCCTGTTGCAGACTGCTTTGATGAACCCCCAGCCCACTGTCCCCTGCCCCCAACACTACCGGTAGACTTTAGGACCATAGTTAACCAAGTCTTTACCTCTGAGATATTTTAAGTCTATGAAAATTGATGACAATTTTTGACTTCTAAATAGGTAACTCGACTGCAAAATAATCAAAACTGATAACAATGAAACTACGGCTCTTACACAAAGCCATGCATGCCGTGCATCTGTATTGAAATGTCTCCATGATATGAAGCCAAATATTCCATGTAACATACTTAATATCCAAAGGTGGAAACAAAAGAATGTAGAGATCCAGTGTTAAGAGTTCCATTTGCTTCAATTAATTATTTACCTTCCTGTGGAATAATATATATATATATATTTAATAGAACCATAGGTAGACTAGTAGAATTTAGATTATAAATGTGTGAGTGCAGATTATCCTGCTATTGCACAAGAATAAGGGGGAAAGAATCTTAATTTCAGCTGGCAAAATGCTGGCCAGGACACATATAAGAAAGTTGCACTAGATTGAATGGTCACAGAATCAAGGACATGGAAGGAAATGAAACTCTGATGATTCTGCAGCAGACGTGGGCTAGACTGTACATGGTTTCTGTGAGTTTGTTTCTCAAAGAAAATGGGGGCCATCTGTCCCCAGTAGAGCTCACCTGTCCATTTGGAATATGGGGCATTTGTTTTCCCCACTGCGATGATTTCAGTCTGGTTTCATCCTGTTGGAATTTGATCACACCATTTTCAAACAATGTTAACATAGTCCAGCTTTTGTTTTTCTCATCTCTTCCGAGAGGAGACTCACTGTTTCTGTCTGAGGAAGCTCATACCCTCGGCAAAACATCAGGACAAATATAGAGATGGGGGTATACATTCCCAACAGAAGCTGAGTGTTATTTGTTTTAAAACTCCGAACAGAGATCTTGGAAATCTTTCAGGAAGACCATTGAATTCTTCACTGGCTGAGAACTACGTTTTAAAAAGTCTTAAATAGGGCTTTGTTTGCATTGTTTGAGTTCAAGGGGCCTTATTATTGAATGGAATTGCACAAGTCTTTCTTTGTGCAATCAAACCATTGTTATTGGTAGTTCTGTAAAGGAAACTGTGGAATCTAATTGGTAATGGAGTTATAAATCTATTTACTGAGTGTGGCTTCCAAGAAATGTTGCAATTCAAAATGCACTAAGCCTGTGATTTATTGGAGATTTGAAGATTCCAAATAATATTTTTTAAAAAACCTTTCCATCTAACTTCTGGTCTAACTTTTGGCAACTCAACATTAAAAAAAAGAAAAAAAAAAAAAGCCCAGTCCAACTGAGTTTCAGAACTAAGTATTCTCCTAATAAGTGATTCACACTTGTAATATTTGCCACAGGACTGACTTATTTATTTACTAGCTAGAAGCTCTTAAGTTCACTTGTTTATCAGGGCATATACAGGAGGGTTTGTTAAAACTCAATACTGACTTTACAACTTTCTGACCTGGTGCATGAATTCTCAAGTACTGTATTTCACTGTGTTGGTGTGTCTGATGGAAATTTCAAGGTGGTCCCACAAAAATATTTTATGTAGTGTGCCTTCAAAGAGAACCATTTATTTCTCTTCACTTGTTGTCCCACAAAGTCACATTTGGTGGTGGTCAGCCAAGTCCCATTTGGTCTAGTTTTACTCTTGTCCCGATTTTAAAGAGAAATGGGAACGATTTCGCCCTGGTGAGACCCACACCCTTGCCGTGATTACCTTGAGCACTTCAACTCCAGAGTGGGCTGTTGACGTATTTGGTATTCTGCTTGTCTCCCCATGGTTGAAATATGTCTGAAGAATAGCAGCATAATCTCTTGGCTGTTTATACTTTTTTAAACTTTCCTGTGTTGTAAATATTGTATACTTTTGGTGATTCCAGCTACCCTCTATGCTCTGTAAGGTGATTATTTGTATATAGCAATGTGGCCCAGTGATATATAGTTTCCCAATGGAGAGGTTATTGAGTAACCTTTGCATTAGTTTAAACACTACCAGAAGAATGCTGAGCCAACTATAAACACTCAATTTTGTATGTTTTCCAAATTGTACTTATTACTGCTTTTGATACTGTATTACGTGCCAATAGTTTCCCAATCACATAGCAGGCAAGAGATATTTTGTACTTTTTGATCCACTGTAATATTTAATAAAAAATGTTACTATCTGTTTCCTTTTTGGGTGTCTGTCACTTCTTTCTGAGAAGCCATGTGGCTTCATTAGAGGACCTTTCACCCCCTGGGCCCTAAGTTAGATAGTGATGATGGTGATATCTGCTCTTGTTGAGAGCCTACTGGATGTTCAATTAGTATATGTTATCTCTTATCTTCATAATCATGTGAATATGGTTTACTCATGAGAAAACTAAAGCTTAGCCCAGTGCATTGAATTTCCCAAGATAACATGACTGACAAATGGCAGAGTTAAGAATTGAACCCAGGATTCTTAAATCCGTACACTCATTTCCTTGAAGATCACAAAAGTTACTGTTTATTCAGCCAATGGAGGTTGACTCAGGCCTCAATTGCCAGATATACTGTTACTATTGTATTGCCAGCTGGTAATATGATGGTAAGTAAAAGATAAATACTATTTCTGGAACTCATAAATCTTATGAGAGTTAGTCAAAGATTTGCCCTTATAAATGCAAATCTTGACCTAGTTCAATGGGAGAGGAGTGTGATGACTAAAGTGACATGTGAACAGGGATGATTGGGGATGAGCTGACCCAGGAAGGATGAGGGAGAGGAATTGGGAGAAGAGAGGATTGAGAACCAGCCTGGGGGATCCATACATGCAAAGGCCCTGAGGCTTGCAATAGGACTAGGGGGATATGGGGGGGGAGCCTCTGCACCACATATATAATGTTGAGGGAATGAGGTTGGGTGAGGGTAGAGTAGAGCTGGGACCAGGTCTATCCTAAGCAGAACAGAGGTTTAAGAAAAAAAAACGACTGGTTCAGATTTGTTTTTTTCCAACATCACTCTAGAGAGCCACTGTGTACGGGCAGATTGAGAGCAGTGTAATATTAAGACCAAGGTCTTTTCAATTGGAGTGGTAGAATAGGAAAGTAGACCCTTCCACAGGTACGGGAGGAAGATGAACAAACTTGGTGGTGGACTAAATGGGACAATTGATGGCAGCATACCAGGCAGAATTGAAAATCTAGGAAAATACTCTATATTCTAATGTCTGTGTCTGTTATTCATACACCTGGTGATGATGGACAAAGATTTCTAATCTTCCCTTTGATCTTCTGCCTCCCAGCTTCCCCCTGGCTTTTCTCACCTTAATATTGGTTGAATAGGCATTTACAAAGTCACATGCTGGATGCTCCCTCCTAGTGGTCCCCAGAGATGAGGGACAAGGGACAGGGATGGGAACAGGGCTTTGGTGAGACCCTTGGCTTAAGACCATAGCACACATGGTCAGGATGGCTTGGAACAGACAAAAGAAAATAAAGTGTTATTAAGTGTGTCAGCACAACTCTGGGAGGAGGAGAAAAACACATTTTGATAAAAGGCACAGGATCCTTTTCTCATCGTGGTTAACTCCCTAAAGGACCCCTGCCCAGCCCTCTCAAGTCAGGTCAGCAGGAGCTGCAGAGAGACACAAGAAGCCTTACCCTCTTCTTGCTGGTTGTCATCCCTTTGCTAATTCAGAATCCAACAAGCACAGCAAGAATCCCCAGCCCCATGGTTTCCTGGCCCTCACTCTGATTCATGTGTATTTCATCATATCGTGAATATCATCATTATCATGTGAATTGCTCTGAGTACATCAAAAGAATGTCCTTCCATCTCTGACACATTCAGCATTTGTAGATCTGATACTTGATTCATACACAACAGGAAGCATCATGATAAGTTATCTATTTTTATCACGCTTAGATGGCAAATATTGTTGGGAAGGGACAGTTCTCTTAGCTAAAGGTGTCACTCATAGGGCAAAAGCAATGAAAATGCCCAAACATATATTCCAGGAAAGAGGCCAAAGTGGACAAATGTTTTAGGGCTGATAGTGACCAGGAAATAGGCAATGGTTTACATCAACAAGTATGCGAGTGGCAGAAGATAGGAATAGAGTTAGAGGTGACCTCTGGTCAGGAATTATGTAAAAGAAAGTACAGCTTTCAAGATGGACCTAGAGCATAGAGTAAATCACATTATGATTTGAATAGACAGCAGGAGGGACAAGGATCACATTATGAGGCCCCAAATGGGTCTCACCAATTCGGAACTCCTGAATTTTGGAATCTCCAGGAAAATTCCCAAGACAGAGAAAGCATTTGATTAACCTGCTTCAAAGAATAGACTACTTTAAATCATGCTAGCCATAATCATGGGTCTTCAGCCAGCCTGGGCCAAACAAAGTAGTCTGTTCCCTGAGCCACCTATAGAAGAGCAAAAGCAATTACTTGACAGGAGTTTTTGGTTTTTATTTTTGCAGTGCTGGAGAGGGAACCCAAGCTTCATGCACACTAGACAAGCACCCTATCTCTGAGCTATACCCTCAGGCCCTACCACTACTCTAATTATTGTTAAAATTCTCTCTATAACACACTCTTCCTTCCTGGTGTGGTGGAAATGTTCCAGAATTCAGCTTTCCAATGTTGCAGCTTGCAATGTCTGGCTGGGCACAAAATCACGAGCCACTCAAGCAGGAACAAACTTTATTTCTGAACTCCACCAGCATACTCCACACACGCTCCTGGGAAAAATGCCGAACGCCACGCCACACGGCTCCTCCAGGGACACACTACACCAACAGGAAATCCCTCCACTGGAAATCCCTCCTACCGCACTTCCCCAACCATGGGAACTCTCAGGGAGTCCTGAGAGAGCTCCAAAGTAGCAGGCCTAGGCAGACAGCAGGGGTCTAATCTCCAATTGAATGCACATCTTAACATAATCATTATCATCTCAATGGCTTGCAGTGGTCACCTTTCAACCAAAAACATCATGCGTCATTCCTACTTGGCTATGGCTCTCAGCAGCAGCTCATAGCCAATGTGGCTATCAGGCCTTTGAAATGTTCCTAGGAAGACAGAGGAATTCACTCTTTAAAAATTCCATTTAATGTTTGGTCATTTAAACTTAAATAGCCACATGTAGCTAATGGTTTCTGAATAAGACAACAGATTTTGAAGGTTGTCCAATATGCACATATGGATAGACTTGATCACACATGGCCAATACCTGCATATAAAATCTAACACAAACACTAAAGCAGATGACATCATGCCTCTTATTGCCAAAATTTTGTTAATTAGGGGTGACAATGGATACAATATTATTTTTCATTCAAGATTTAAACATCACAGGTGTTTAAATACTTCCTAAATGAGCAAATAAGTCGTTGAACAAGTGTGAAGAGAAGTCTACAATTATGACATCTTGTAATCTTGCCCTGCCTTTTGTGTTAAATCTGTGTGAGGCTTGAAGGCAACTTTCAGAAAGTCTGGGAAATATTAGACATGGCCGCCGTATTCAAGCTACATGGCTTCATTGTGGGGCAATTCAACAGTCAGCTATAGGCATTCAGTGTGAGGGTCAGGACCAAGTGGAGAGAGGAGGATCCAGTGTGGGTGAATTTATGATAAATTAATTTGTTGTGCTCTGGTTCTACATTTTCAAGCCTGGTTCTATTTCTCTATTTCTCTTTTACTCATAATGATAATAACTAATGATATTGACTGACAGCTCCATATGTGCTGTTTTAAATGATTTTTGCTATTAATTCATTTGCTCCCAGATGCTCAAGTCTCATATAAATGGCACAGTATTTGCGCAGAACCTACACACATTCTCCTATATACTTTAAATTATCTCTGGATCACCTCATACAGTGAAACGCTCTATAAATGATTGTTATGCTGTATTACATAGGTGATAATGACAAAGAAAAATATATTCAGTACAGATGCAACTAATTTTTTTTTAATATTGTCAATACATGGTTGATTGAACCTGCAATTGAAAAACCTGCAAGTATGGAGGGCCAACTGTCATCATAAGCAAGAACAAATTATAGTACACTTCCATTTTGGCAGAATGTTTCCTCATGACACTACGATTAGTCCACTCTGACCCAGAAGAAGACAATTGCTGTTTTGATTTCTATCATCAGAGGTTTGTCTTCCTTGTTTTCAATATTCTTTTAAAAACTGGGAACACAAGATATTTTACTATCATATTATTGCTTTTATTTAACAATGTGCTGCAGATTTCTTGCAGTGTTATAATATGACTGTACCAGGTATTAAAAGGTATAAAGTTTGGAAAGGAAGAAACAAAATTAATATTTTTCATAAACAATATAATTATTCATCAAGGAAACCCCAAAAAATCCACAAGTACATTATTATAATGAATGAGAGCTCTCCACATTTGCTCAATATATGATTAAAATGCCAAGGTCTTTAACATTTTTATTTTCCAGAAACAACTGAAATGATACTTAAATTTTTTTTCCATTCACAATAGCAATAAAATGAAAATGCACCTATGAATTGAATTTAACAAAATAAGTTGGAAAGCAATTTGGCAAAATGCAGTTAAACTGCAGATGTGCTTACTGCTTATTATAAACTCAGTAAGAACACTATGGGTTAACATGGAGCAAACTCAAGTTAGGAGTATGTATGGGGTGTTCATTGCCACATTGATTCTGCATCACACACAGAAAACACACAGAAACAAAACAACATAAAACTTTGTCAATGAAAAATGGGTAGGGCTGGGGCTATAGCTCAGTGGTTGAGCACCTGCCAACATGTGTGAGGCACTGGGTCCGATCCTCAGCACCACACAAAAAATAAACAAAAGAAAGGTATCGTATCCATCTACCACTAAAAACAAATTTAAAAAGAATAGGTAAATAACTATTGTATATGAAAATAGTTATATTGTATATGCAATAGTTAAAATATCTAAAATATCTAAGTATCCATGTAAATAAGTATCAAAAACAGTGTTCAGTGAAAAAACACACAGCACATTATCAACACAGTGTAAGAATCAAAGACATAAACAAGGTAATACTGTTTATGGATATATTTAACAAATATATAATAACATAAATAGGTCATAATCAAGGAAGGAGGAGCTGATGGAGGAGAAGGTGACCTTTATAGTAGTTTATCTCTTTTATTGTCTAGAGCAAAAAAGCAAAATG